TTATTACAGATGTGTGTGTTTATTACAGATGTGTGTGTTTATTACAGGACTGTGTGTTTATTACAGGACTGTGTGTTTATTACAAATGTGTTTGTTTATTATAGGAGTGTGTGTTTATTACAAATGTGTGTGTTTATTACATGAGTGTGTGTTTATTACAGATGTGTGTGTTTATTACAAATGTGTGTGTTTATTACAGGACAGTGTGTTTAATACAGATGTGTGTGTTTATTACAGATGTGTGTGTTTATTACAGGAGTGTGTGCACATCAGAGCAGAGCAGTTTGTGACATCACTGGCCTCTCTGTCAGAGAAGCTGCTGCATCAGCTGGACGAGCTGATGTCACCTGCAGGTAAACATGTCTCACCCTGAGCTGTGGTAACTTCTTGTTTTTGTCTTAACGCTGAGTCAGCTTTCACGCTGTCCTTTTCATTTTTCATAAATTTTTTCACTCTAACTCATTTAGCCTGGTTGTTACTTTTAGCTGTTCATAATTAAAAACGTTCGGCTCATTCAGCTGCTGTGACTTTGGTTTTTGTAACTTTTTTTTTTATCAAAGTAGTTAACTTTATTTTAATAAACTCATATTACATGGAGGTCAGGTCATGGTGCGCGGTTGTGGTGCAGTGGTAGGGCTTTTGACTTGGGACCAAAATGTTGCAAGTTTGATTCCCTACTAGCTTAGTGGATGCTTACATAGCTGCCCACTGCTCCACCTGGGTGTATCTCAGGTGTGATGATTCGAATCCAGAGGAGACATTCAGTCTCTGTGAGGGAACACAACAATGACACACCCCCAGAAACTTTGTTTTGCTTACTTTGATCTTTCAGTTCACCTTTTGCTGTTTTAGCTAGTGTTCTGTTTGTTTCGGCTGTAACGTGTCAGTTTTAGCTCCTTGAGCAGATTCCATGAGTCGCTCAGCGTTCTGTCAGATGCTTCATGCTGACAATAAAAACATCTTCCTGCTCTGCCGGCTCCTTCCACCACTGTAGAAACACAGAGAACCGTCTGGACTGACCACGCCAGGTTCTTGAAAGGAACCCAGAAGGTTCTTCAGCCTGTCTGAATGTCTGCTGCAGACCCAGATCTCTGGGTATCTGCAGGGAACTTCAGGGACCCGGATCTGGTTCCAGTTGCTATGGGGGTTATGTGGGCCTCAGTGAGGAGGGGTTTCACCGGGCATGCTGCGAGATGTTCTTCATGTTTGTCTTGTTCCTGTAGAAACCAGGACCACAGGGAAGCACCAACCCACTGAATACAGCTCTGTTACCATGGAGACCGGCTCTGAAACAGGAAGTGAGCTCAGCAGCCTGAAGCACGAGGAGGTTATCAAACTGAGAGATGCTGCTGTGAAGGTACACACACACACACACACACACACACACACACACACACACACACACACACACA